TGTGATGATTGAAAGGATAAAGATGCAACCAATGAATTATATTATACATTTTCATCCAAGTTAATTCAACTTTTGGTTCAATTCTTTCAATATTTAAAAGTCGCTTCCAATATTCCTGCCCTTTTAAATATTTCAATTTTCGACCAGAAATCTCTGTCTTATGACGAACCCATCTGGCTTTTAATCGCTCAAAAATCTTTTTTTTTATTCTTTATCCTCTTTCTCTTCTTTGTCTTCAGTAATGAATCGATTTCGTTTCATTCTTTTGCCCCCATATTACTATTTTTGTCATCCTTATATTGCATTCTCTTTTCGAGCAATGCATTGGTCTATTATGAACTTTATCAATCAATATCTTAATTTTAAATGATAAATGCAATGATTTCAAGATCAAAATTGGGTGTGAAACAAAGTCAGTAATGAGGTATTTTGGGTTTAAAAAGATAAAGATAAGCTTTTCATGACACAAAGAACAATTTACTCAAAAGTATTTCAAGAATCAAATAGCAATTCTCTAAATAATGAACATTTGGACGACCTTGGCCTACTCAGACCAAGTTTTTTCCAAAAACTCGTTACATTTACGATCTTGTCGCCTGTGATTTCATATGACCAATCCTTGCCCCACATCCGTGACTAATGAGAACTCGTCCCCCAAAAGTCATCTCTTTTAATTCTGGTGACAATTCATCCATTCGGTGCCACTCTTTCGTTCTCTGAAAAACTTTCTTTAAGCTCCACCTTCATTCAAATCGCTTTTTACGGTTTTCAGCTCAAATGACCCCCCTTTAATTCAAATTGCCCTTTTCGGATTTTCAATCTGAATCATTTTTTTTCTTTTGTTTTTTTTAAGCAAAATATTTTTTGACAGTGTCTGAATTTATAGGATTTGGTAATTCACCTCCATCCATTTCTGTAAGGATCAGAGCTCCAGCAGAAAAAGCCTTTTTTACCACATATGGACCTTTCCAATTGGGTGTCCATTTTCCTCTATTGTCATGCTGACATGGCAAAATCTTTTTCAAAACCAATTCGCCCTCACGAAAGCATTGAGGTCGTATCCTTTTGTCATGTGCTCGCATGATTCTCCTTTTATACATTTGTCCATAACTGAGTACTGAGAGCCTTTTCTCTTCAATAAGATTCAGTTGCTCGAAACGATCCTGAACCCATTCTACCTCATCCAATTTCATCTCTATCAACACCCTTAGAGAAGGAATTTCCACTTTAATCGATAGTATAGCTTCCATCCCATACACTAGTGAAAATGGTGTAGCCCCTGTGAAGGTTCGGATTGATGTCCTATAGGCAAGCAAAGCAAAAGGTAACTTTTCATGCCAATCCTTATATGTGTCAGTCATTTTCTCCAATATTCTCTTGATGTTCTTATTCACAGCTTTCATTGCACCATTCATTTTTGGACGATATGGTGCTGAATGATGATGCTTGATATTGAACTATGCATATAATTCTTTCATCATTTTATTGTTTAAATTGCTAGCATTATCTGAGATGATCTTTTTCGAGAGCCCATACCAACATATTATCTCTCTTTTTATAAATCTACACACCACTGATCGTGTAATACTAGCATACGAAGCTGTTTCTACCCATTTTATAAAATAATCGATTACCACAAAGATAAATCGATGCCCATTTGAAGCTTTTGAGATTATGGGTCCGATCACATCCATTCCCTACATGGAGAAAGGCCATGATAGTGCCAAGACGTGCAGCTAGACTGGAGGAGAATGAATTTTATCTGTATAATTTTGGCATTTGTGGCACTTCCTAGCATAACTGATGCAATCATTTTCCATTGTAGACCAGTAATAACCAGCTCTCATATCTGTTTGGCCATCATATGCCCGTTAGTATGTGTTTCACAAATTTTTTCATGTACTTCTTCAAGTATCATTCTTGCTTCCACAGCATCGATGCACCTTAGCAAAATTTGATATCAACTCTTTTTACACAGAATTTCTCCATCAAAGCATAAAACCTGCTGCTAATCTTCGAATGATCCTCTTATCATTTTCTAAAGCTTACTCTGGGTAGTTTTGATAGTTGATATATTGTACAATGTCATAGTACCATGGTTTTCGATCTACTTTTTCTTCCATGTTTGAACAGTGGGCCAGTGAAATTTTTATTTGTACTCTAATAGGCTAAATTCCCATACTATTATTTAACCTGAACATTGCTGTCAAAGTAGCCAAGGCATCAATAATTTGATTTTCTTTTCGGGGAACATGTTGAAATTGGATTCTTTAAAATGTTTCCTCAAGCCAGTTATGTGCTTTTGGTATAACACTAGTTTCAAGTCCCGATCTCCCATTCACCTTTTAGTTGATAAATTATCAAGGTTGAATCCCCATATACTTTTAGTGTTCCAATCTTTTTTTTAATAGCCATCTGTAATCCCATGACGCAGGCTTCATATTCAGCAACATTGATTGTGCAGTTGAAATCTAACCTTACGATACAAGGATAGTAATTCTCTTCTGGGGATATTAGCACTGTTCTAATGCCATGCCTCATTATATTGGATGCCTTGTCAAAAAATATTTTCCATACTTCTCTTATAGGCTCTTTATCTTCATCCTGCAAGATTGCCATCAAATCTTCATCTGAAAACTCAAACTTTATAGGTTCATAATCTTCTGTACTTCGATTAGTAAGAAAATCAGCAATTGCACTCTTTTTTATGGATTTTTATGTCACATACACAATATCATATTTTAAGAGCATGACTTGCCATCTCGTTAGCCTGCCTGATAAAGATGATTTTTTTGAAAATGTACTTAAGGGGATCTAATTTCGATATTAGCCACGTCGTATGGTAAAACATATATTGCCTGAGTCTACGAGTAGTCCAAGCTAGGGCACAACATATTTTTTCTATTTGGGGGTACTTGGCCTTGTACTCTGTAAACTTTTTACTCAAAAAGTATATAGCTTACTTTTTCTTACCAGTTTCATCTCTTTGCCCCAATACACATCCCATCGATTTTTCTTGAATCGTTAGATATAAAATCAATGGTCTTCCTGCAACTGGCGAAACCAACGCTGGTGGGTTTATCAAATACTCTTTAATCTTTTCAAATGCATTTTGGCATTCTTCATCTCATTCACCAGGATTATTTTTATGAAGCAACCTAAAGATTGGATCACATTTCAAGGTAAGTTGGGATACGAAGCGAGAAGTATAATTCAATCACCCTAAAAAGACTCTCACCTCCCTTTACATGCGTGGTGCTGACAATTCTTGAATGGCTCAAATTTTATCAGGGTCTACTTTTATACCTCTTTCACTAACTATAAACCCTAATAATTTTTTGGATTTAACACCAAAAGTGTATTTGGCTGGATTTAGCTTAAGCTGGTATCTTCGTAATCTTTCAAAAAGCTTTCTAAGATTAACAACATGATCTTCTCTTTCCTGAGACTTAGCTATCATATCCTCAATATATACCTCTATCTCCTTATGCATCATATCATGAAAGAGAGTGACCATCACCCTTTGATATGTGGCACCAGCATTCTTTAGCCCAAAAGGTATAACTTTATAGCAAAACGTGCCTCACATTGTCACAAATGTAGTTTTCTCCATATCTTCACAAGCTATTTTGATTTGATTGTAGCCAGAGAACTCGTCCATGAATGAAAAAGTGAAGTGCTTAGCAGTGTTATCCATAAGGGTATCAATATGTGGCAATGAAAAATTATCCTTTGGGCTAGCCCTATTTAAATCTTGATAGTCCACACACATTTTAACTTTTTCATCTTTCTTGGAAACTGGGACTATATTGGCTACCCATTCAGGGTACTTGGCTACTTCTAAGAAACCAGTGTCAAATTGCTTTTTTACTTTTTCTTTTATCTACAATAACATTTCTGGCTTCATGCGTCTCAACTTCTGCTGTACTGATCGACATTCTGGTTTTAAAGGTAACCTATGCTCAACCACTTCTGTGCTAAGTCCTGGTATATCATGGTAAGACCATACAAATACATCCATGTACTTTTGTAGCAAATTCACCAACTTTTGTTTCTCAATCGATGATAGTGAAGTATCGATCCTAACTTCTTTCTTATTGTCACCATCTCTCAAATTTAATGGGTCAGTTGATTCTTGATGAGGTTCTATAATTTTTTTCTCTTGTTCCATCCATTTCAATAGATCATGAGGTAAATCATATTCTTCTGAATCAACATCGTTATCAAGCTCGCTAATGTGAGTCAAATTTTCAAAATCAAACCCGATGTTATTACCTTGGTCATCCATAATGTTCATTATTAGAAAACCTAAAAATGGGTATAATCATAAAGAAATATATATTGATCTTGGCAAGGGCAAAGAGAATGGTAATGAAAAAGGAAAAAAAATGAAAAATAGAGAACATGGTATAAGTGAAATGCATTGCATTCATCATTTTATTAAGACAATGAAAATAAGCCTATACACTTAACCTCTACATGCTCTTGGGCAGAAGAAATTAGAATTTTTGAGTTAAAAGGTTCAAGGATAACAAAATGGTACACCATTCTTCAAGTCTCTTAAAAAGGAAAAAAGATCTCTTCATCTTGCACGACTCTTTCATCGCTTCCACTTGAAATCATGAGAAAGCTTTCTCTAATCCCATTACCAGTCCCCCTTGTTCAACTCCTGTAAACCTAGGATAGATATGCCCGATTGAACAAAAGGTTTCATACAAATAAGGGAACACCATTTTCCTATCAATCGAATTTTACCCTTTGAGGCGTGCCATTCTCTTTTCTTTCTTCTTCAGTATTACATTCTTTTTATCAACAGACGTAGGCTTATAGCCTAACCCTCATTTTTTTTTATTTTCAATCGAGCATGGTGCTCTTACGATTCCTTGTAAAGTTTTCCCTAAGCCTTGCCTGATTTGCCAACCTTTGCCAGCAGTCTGTTTGATCACCATATTCATAGCTTTTGACAATTGAGGGATCAGTATCCTTGACCCTTTTCTTACTTAAGTAGCATTTGCTAGTTTAAAAGCTCTAACAGAACATTCAATTGCTTCTTCTGCTGCTTCAATGTAAAGAGTTTTTAAGGTCTTTGTTACCAATAAATCCTCCTCACCATCCACACAGACTTGTTTTCCTTTCATGATGAATTTTACCTTCTGATGTAGAGATGAAGGTACAACTTCGATGGTGTAAATCTAAGGTATTTCAAGTAGACAACTATATGCAGGAGTTATGTCCATTACTTGAAATATGATGTTGAAGGTATAAAGATCGATCTGTAATGAGATTTTTATATCACCAATTACCTTTCTTCGTGTCCCATAAAATGTTCTTACAATCATATGGCTATTTCGCATGTGAGAAAGATCCATTGGAAGCTTTGACAATATCATCAGAGGCATAACATTAATAGATGATCCATTATCAATTAGTACTTTAGCCATAATATGAGACTTGCACTTGACAGTAACATGTAAAGCCTTAACACTACCACATCCTTCCGGAAGTATTTCATCATCATTAAAGGTGATGAAATTCGAGGCTATAATATTTCCAACCATGTGATCTACCTTCTCAACAAAAATGTTATGCTCGACATAAGGTTGGTTGAGCACTTTCAGCAAATCATTCTTATGTGACTCAGAATTCAATAGTAACGACAATAAAAAAATACGAGCTGATAGTTTATTTAACTGGTCAACCACACTATACTCACCATATTTAATGATCTTTAGAAATTCATAAGCTTTTTTTTCTGACATCGGTTTGTTATCTTGCCCTTTTGAGCTTACCATCGATTGAGAATCTTGGTTTTCCCTTATGTCTTCTTTTCTTATCTTGTCTTTCCCTTTCCTAGCCCTTTCTGACATTTCAGGAGTGTAAATTCGACCACTTCGTGTCATTCCTCTTATTCTTACTATGTTGACAGTATTTTTTGAACTTGGATTATTCGAGGTCATATCAGGCCCTCGCATCACCACATCATAATCGTATCTCCATGGGACTACTTTGTTAGTTTGATAAGGGAATGGACTAGGGACATAAATGGTCATTGGTATCCTAAAAAAAGAGATGGTCTTCTTTGTTAGGGGCTTTGGTTTTTCATCATAGTAGACAGTGAGAGGTTTGGGGATAAAAGATTTGCCAAAATGATTGTCGCCTACTGTATTCACACTATTTTCATCACAATCATCATAAAACTCAATGATGGCCTCATCCATCAAGCTCTGCAATATTCGTTTAAAGTCCTCACAACCTTGGATCGAATGTCCAACCAATCCTCTATGGTACTTGCAAGAATGGTCAGGGTTTCCATGACTTCCATTGTTATCCAAAAACAACAGTTGAATCATACTTGCCTTGCATAAATAGTCATACACCCATTTAAAAGGAGTCTTTATTTCATCCATACATCTTTTGATTTTCACATCTTTTTCCTTATCCACCATATTAATTTTTCCTCCGATGTGATCTGGCAAAGGGTTTTCACTAACACTTGGCTTGAATTTGGTGTCAAAAGTTAAAAGGCCATCGTTTATTAGACCCTGCACCTTATGTGTAAGTGCTGTACAATTTTCAATAGAGTGTCCTGTAACACCATAATGATAATCGCACTTAGCGTTAGGGTCATACCAACTCGGGTAAGGTGGCTTTAATGGTTTTACATAAGAAGGAGCGATAAGATGACCTCTCACCAACTGAGAGTACAAATCGGTATAAGACATAAGAATTGGATCAAAATGAGGTCTTTCTCGATTGTTATTATTTTGTGAGGTTCTTTGATTGTTGTTTGGATGGATTGGTTGGGCAAATGGTTTAGTTGGAGGTGCAGAGATGTAATTGGATGGCTAAGGGCTAAAGCTTGGTTTGAGCAGTGGTTGTTGGGGTATTCGATAATGATATGGTTGTTGAAAGATTTGGTTTATGGTAGGGTAGTAAGGGGGATATGGATTATATGGGACAAAAGGATGGTGTGAGGGATTTCTGTGAGTGATAGCATGTGTCTCCTGCTCTTTCTTCTTTAAAGTTACTGTTTTCTTTTCGGACCCTTCAATTTTGCCACTTTTGACAGCGTTCTCTATCATCTCTCCTGAGATTACCATGTTAGAGAAATTTTTCGTGGCATTCCCCACCAATCTGTCATAATACGGGGCTTTAGTGTATTGACAAATAGCACAGTTATCTTTTTTTCAGTCAGTGGTGGTTGGACTTAAGCTACCATATCTTTCTATCGATACGCATATTCCTTGAAGGTTTCCATTGATTTCTTCTCCATATTTTGTAATGACAGCCTATCATTGGCTATATCCAAGACGTGCTTATACTGAGAAGAAAAATTTTGGTCAAGTCTTTCCATGAACGGATCTTGCTCTGATCTAACTGCACATACCATTTAGCTGCTGAACCAATCAAACTATCTTGAAAACAGTGTATCAATAGTTTGTCATTTTGGGTATGACCTGTCACCTTTTTACAAAATATGGTAATATGAGCAGAAGGACACTTTGTTCCATCATATTTCTCAAAATCTGAGGTCTTAAATTTTGGTGGGATAACCAAGTTAGGCACTAGGCTAAGCTCATTGGCGTCAATAACCCCATAAATGTCACTACCTTCAACTGCTTTGAGCCTCTCTTCAAGTTGGTCATACTTGTTTCAAAATTTTGAATTTATAACAGGTTCTGACATTTCGTGAGACTTCTCTTGTTCAACAGGGTCATTAAGATTCAATACCATGATGGGATCGACTAGGATGGGTTTCGAATTGGTATTCAAGTAGGTCAGTTGTTGACTTACAGAATGATTAACATAGGGGTATGGCTGTACACTTGGTGGGTGTATGTGCATGCCATGAGGGGCTTGAGCTTAGGCTTGAGGTGGAGTGAATCTAAGAGGATAGAGTGGTTCTTTCATATTAACTTCTTCTCCTATCCTTGATGCCCCAGCAACTTCTTTACCTTTCACTGAACCAATTAGTAATTGTCTTAATTCAGCCATCTGGGCTTCGATACTTTACTATATCTCCATCACTCTTTCTCTTATTTCCTCTTGTGCCTTTTTGACTCTCTCAAATCTGGTTACGTTCTCTTCTTCCATAACTCGAGCTTGAAAACAAGTATTATATCTATGCGGGATTGTCTGACTTAGGTTCTTCGACTTTGCTATCCTTGAACCTTAGTTTATTAACCATGAATTAGAATACGTAATATAATATCATTGCTTATTTACCTTTATTAAAATGCATGTATGGAATGAATGATACGCAAATTATGGGTATTGTTTTAGATCAATCGAAATAAAAAAAAAAAACTTTCATTAACCATGGAGGCCTTTATACATCATCTGATCATTCTTGCGTTAAAACTATAAAAACATTTGATTTGAGCATATTGCTCCCTAGCTTCACAGAAGAAATTCAGTAATCTCTAACCATGGCTTTGAGTTGGTATAATCTTTCATTCCAGTGCTTTCGCCTTTTTAACCATGTTGCTTGCTTTTCGAATAGCCTTGTAGATTTGAGTAGTCAAATGTTCGATGTATTGTTGTCTTTCTAAACTTTTTGCTCTCCACATCTCTTGAGCATCCACTTCCATGTTACAAGTATGGGCCCAATAATCTTCTTTTTCTTGCCATTCATTTAAAATCTTGTCTATGTAGCTCTGATTGTTGGTTAATTGAAACTCTAGACTCATTAACTCCTGCTCCAAAGCTTTCTTCTCATTTTGCAAATCAGAACTCCTATCTTGTTCCTTTTTTAGTTCGGCCCTTAGCTTTTCATTTTCCTTTTGGCACCTCGTTACCTTTCCAGAGGCTCCTGAAAATATTTTTTTCCATTCATGTTGGTTTTTAATGAGTGCAGAGATCACTTCCTTATTTTCTCGAGTTTTGTTCTTCCAATACTCCACCATATCTCTTAATTCTTCCACATCCTTCTTAGATCCCTTCAAAGGTCTACTGTCCAACCTTAATTTCTTATTTTCTTGATGTAGATTTTACAAATCTTCTTTTAATACTTTTCGTTCTTTGGTCAATTTTTGTACTGCATCATCTTTCATCATTAAATCATATCTCAATTGGTTAACTTGATCCATCATAGCCATTTTCTCTTTCTCTAACTTTTTCTTTTCAATCTCAAATTCTCGTTGGATGATCTCAAAAGTTAATAATACCGGTACTAAAATAGGAGCTGGTAACTTTTCTGAAACATCGACTGGTAGATGCCTAATTTCGTTAACCCTTTTCATCCTTCAAGCAAGGTAACCCTCTGTAACATTATCTGTAAATCTAGCTAGACTTATTCGGTTGACTTGCTTTCATGCTTTGATGATTTCGCGAACCCTTTTCACGTAATTGGGTGTCCCATAATCGAACTCGAGTGAACTGAGTCCATGAGTCATAGGGATAAACTGCCGTGAGTCATATTATCTTTGAACCATAAGAGGTGCATAACTCACTGCCCCTCATATTCCTAACAAGGTACCCATGACTCATCTCCATAACTATACAAGATGCCCATCGAAAGCATCCATGGTGCCCTCTATGTTACATCTTCGCTAGTGAGCTTTAGAAAGAATGCCAACCACTAACCTTTTGTCCAATCTTTTCTCCATTTTTTAGCCACAAACTCTTTGATAGGACTGAAATGAACGGAGAATGGCCAAAATGATGTTTTTTTTCCCCCAAAAGTGGGTTTTGAGCCAGATAAAAAGTAATTGAGCACACCCTTTAAATCGTCCTTCACCCTTTCTTCGATAAAAATTAAGTGATCTAATAGTCTCAGCCAAAATAGTTGGTGAAGGATTTATTCCTTTATCTAATTGCTCAAAAAAGTCAATCACTGATGCTTCTATATGTCCTAATACCTTAGGAAATATCATCAATCCATACACAGCTAAAGCAAACACATCCAATCCTTGATCAGTTTTAATATACTTCTTTATGTACTCGAACAGAAAAGCTGATGGAATGATCTCAACCCCATTCTTTTCCTTCTTGTGCTGGTCTATCTCTTAAACCTCTACTTGCATGATCTTGGCTAACTTCTTTCTATATCTAATAGTCTTATGCTCTTTCCAATAGATATTATCTTGATTGGTAGACTTTATCCGGAGTAAAGAAGAATATTCTTCGATCGTGGGAGCCAAGTCTTCTTGGTTGAATATAAAGCATCGATAAGATGGATCTTAGAATTGTATTGCAGCTCTTATCAGTTGTTCATCAACCTTCACTGACATAAACAGTGCCACATCCCTGTATTTCTTGGAAAAAGATTCCTTTCTCTCTATTCTCCATTGTTTCCAAATAGCTTCCAATTCTAATATATTATTTTGACTGAGATCCATATGCACTAACTGTGGTAGCACCGATATGTGACTATCTACTAAGCAATCTCTTTCTTTTTCCTGAGTACTTTCTGAATGGCTATTGACCTCTAAGTAGCTCTTACACATGGATGACATCCTTTAGGTTTTTGGAAAGTTTTTCTTGCTAAAGATTGGTCCAAAACGATACCCTCTAGAAATATGGTAGCTATATGATGCATGCAACAAAATTGAAGACGACAAAAGAATTAAACAAATCAATAATGTAAATAAAACAAATAAATAAAAATGAGTAAATGAATGAACAAGTATAACATGCGTCATAACAGAATATACATAGTGTCCTAATTTAGGTAATTTTCTTGTAAAAGGGACATGGCTTTATCCTAAAGTTGGACCTTACAGCTCACTATATGTCAGGTTAAGATTTACGTGTCTAAAATTTCCTAGACTATTCCTCACATCATCGTCCATTATAGACTAGTAAGGCTCCCCAATCCTCACCTATTACAGGCTACTAACAGAAAGGGTTCAATCTGAGTGGAAGTGTTTCGCTAGCAAATACAGAGGTTATCACCTCACGAGAGCATAGCTACTTCACTTCCTCCTAAAAGGGATAGAGCCCGGGTTTATAGCTCATGCATGAATATGTAAAGTGTGTGCAAAATAATGTATTAATCAAAATACCATAAACACAAAATTAAAATAAAATAACAACTAACATACAATTTATCTTATTCATTAACGTATATTTTTTTGAAAAATCAAAATAAAGGAGATTAAATGAAATGTCAAATAAAACCAATTAAATCCAACAATTCTTAATAGTGCGTAATTAAAATTTTTGGCTTGACTCTCAAATATATAATCCCCAGTGGAGTTGCCAAGCTATCGTAACGATTTTGGGGGTCACTAGACATAAAGTGTTTTAAAATCGAGAGAAATAAAAGGGAGTCGCCACCAATCTTTGTTAGGGTGTGATTGACCACCAAAAAGTTTATCTTTTTAATAAAACTATAAAAATGGGTTTAAAGTTTATCAAAAAGATAAATTTTGATCTACGAAAAATCAGGTTGGGTCCGAGAGTTGGTTACGTGTGGAGAAGGATTAGCACCCCCACAACACTCATAAATTGGTACCATTTAATTACATGCTATTTTCGACGTTGGATAAAAATGGTTTTAATTTGAAATTTAATAATAATTCCCTTCATTTGAAAAAATAAAATTTTACTAAAATTTTTTTTAGAAATATTGAAAAAATCTTTAAGTTAAAGAATTATCTTAAAATCCTCCAACATCTAGGCAGAATTTAAGATAACTCTTTTCACTTAAGATTTAACACAACAATCCTTAAAATGAAATAACACTCTTTATAGAAAATTATTGGTGACTCTCCAACATCTAGGCAGAATACGAAGAATTATTTTTTTCGGAATGTTATTTTTATTTTATTTTATAATATCAAAAATATATATTTTGAAAAATTTTATATGAGAAAATAAATGATAGTATTATAGGCAACAAATGAAAATTAAAGACAGAGAAATACAATTCAAATAATATGATAATGTATGTATGCAAAGTGATGAAATATAAATTTAAAGTAGGATTCTTGAATATAATGAGACCACCCCGACTCTCCAACATATAGGCAAAGCTTACGTGCGACTGTTTATATTTAAGATCTCATTTCATTATTATACTTTTGTAGTTAATCTTATTATTAAAGCAAATTAAGAACTCGTATGAAAAACTTAATGAAATAAAGTTTCCTAAATA